GACATGCTCTTTAAATGAAATTTCTAATAATGCCTAGGCTTATATTGGGAATATTCTAAATTTACAACTAGGATATTTTTATTAATTCTTATTTCAAAGAACTCTAAACAGTTACATTCTTTTAAGGGAACTATAGTGATTTAGTTACAACTTCACAGCTCAAATGGGCCAGTAACAGGGGGATAGACCCCTGATTCCATCCCTTAATATGTAGGAAGACACAAGAATACTATACTCCCTTTGGGGGCCAATTTACACTAATGGAGAAAAAAATACATGCATCAATTATACTTGACTGACTCATACTCTCTTCCTGGATAGGAAACCTTTCATTTTACTTATTAAGCCCTGCTTCCTTATGCATAATGTTCATAATGATGTTCAATGAACAATATGTTCAATAATGAACATAATTGCCAAATGAACATAAAAATTGCATGTCCGCCTAGTAGTGTTGTGGGGAAAGCTGAGTAGGACAAACCATGCAAAAAACACTGCCAAGCTCATAGTATGCACAAAATAAATACTACCTATCATTATAAAATTATTTTTAAATCACCAAAAGTGTATTAGCCTTTCTATTTTCACACTCATACCATTTACATGATATCAAAATCATTTTAAGAGACAATTAAATTCAGTTATACTTTCATTATAAACTTTAAAATATTCTATCTGAAAAGGTAACACACCAACAAGGGCATTAAGAGCATCAGCAATCTCCAGTCAGAAAGATTAAGTCCAGGAGGGTTGAACAATTCAGTTACATCTCTAATAAAGACACTGGCTATACAACACAAATAGTTAAGCCCTCAGCTACTAACTGAGAGGTTAGCAGCTCACACAGAAGCCCCTCAGAGAAAGACCTGGCTGTTTTCATCCAAGACAGCACTCGTTGAAAATATATGCAACACAATACGCCTCTAAAACATACGGGATGATCATGAATCAGAATTGACTCTATAGATACAGGTATGACTTCATAGTACCATACAAAGACCAGACTGACTATCTCATCCAGAGAGTGTCAACTCACAGCGACCAGATAGGTACAGCTGCCCCCATGGATTTCTGATACCGCAACTCTTTAGGAGAGTAGAAACCCCCTTCTTGATCCTGAGGAGTGACTGGTGGTTTCAAACTGCTGACCCTGTGGTTAAGAGTCTAATGTGTAACCACCATGAAAATACAAAGGTGCCTGAAACTCATGAAAGTCTGCAGAGCTTCTTAGCTCAAAATAGGAAACAGCAGCAGCTGGCAAGGCTAGACCCTTTCCAAATACTTCAGAACTGAACCATCAGGACAAAAACAACCCTTCTCTAGTGACAGGCAAGAGCATGATGATAATGTTAATGGGAATACAACTTTTCTCTAGTTCCTAAATGCTTCCTCGCCCCCATCCCTTGCCCCCCACTATCATGATCCTAATTCTACCTTAAAAATCCTACTAGACCAGATGATGTACACTGATATAGATAGGGACTGGAAATACAGGGAATCCAGGGCCGATGATCCCTTCGGGACCAGTGGTGAGATTTGCAATACCCGGAGGGTGGAGGGAGGGTAGCGTGGAAAGGGGGAACCGATTATAAGGATCTACATATAACCTCCTCTCTGGGGGATGGACAACAGAAAAGCAGGTGAAGGGAGACGTCGGACAGGGCAAGATATGAAAAAATAATAATTTATAAATTATCAAGGGTTCATGAGGGAGTGGGGAGTCGGGAGGGTGGGAGAAAAAATGAGGAGCTGATGGCAGGGGCTTAAGTGGAGAGCAAATGTTTGAGAATGATGAGGGCAATGAATATACAAATGTGCTTTATACAAGTGATGTATGTATGGATTGTGATGAGTTGTATGAACCCCTAATAAAATGATTTTTTAAAAAAGCAACAAACCAGGAAAAAAAGTCAGAGGAACTCTGTACTGCATCCAGCTCTCACGGATTCGCAGCACTGTCCGATTTAGTCACTCACTACCATCAGTCGATTCCACCTCCCAATGACCCTGCAGAACAGAGTAGAATGGCTCCTATGGATTTCTGAGAGTGTAACTTTTTACAGGAGTAGAAAGTCTCATCTTTCTCCAGAGGAGCAGCTGATTGTTTTGAACTGCTGATCTTGTGGTTAGCACCCCAACTCTTAACCATTTTGCCAGTTGGGCTCCAGGAGAGAAGAAACAGTAGTCTCTACTTTGCCCAGTACAGTCAGAATTTCTTCCTATCTTTCTTTTGTTTAATTGCTGTCCTAATGAAAATAGTGTATTTACCTAGCAATAAATGCATAGATTATCACCATCATTAAAAGTCTCTCATAATTGCATTACAAGTTCCTGGGTGACGGAAATAATTAATGCTCTCAAGCCCACCAAGAAGTGCTGTACAAAGAGTTTGTTTTCCTACTTCTGAAAAAATGTTCTGATAAAACCCTCTGGGGCGCACTTCTGCTCTGATAAGCATGGGATTGCCAGGAGTTGGAATGAACTCAACAGCAACTGATTTTAAGCGTTCTGGACAGTATACCTTCAAATAATCAATAGAAAATATATCTCTGAAATAATGTTTGAACCTGAGCTTTCTCCCTTACTTCCTACATGAATCTAAGCAAGACTCAGTTTTCCTAGCTATAAATAGTGCCATTATAAACTACTCTACTAGGTTCTTGTAAAGAACAAATGTGATAATGTATTGAAATTATCTGATAAATAGCAAGTATTCAAAAAACCATGCTTCTCATAATTATTACAAGTACTATGGACTGCCTAAGTGTAAAGAAATCTGTCTTGGAAAAAGTACGGTGAGAATGAAGGTTTCTTAGAAATAAAGATTGTAAGCCTTTGTCTCCTGTACTTTGGAAGCTTTATCAGGAGTGATCAGTCGCTAGAAACTGATATTATGCTTGGTAAAGTGGAGGAACAGCGAAAAGAGGACAATCCATGACAAGACAGAGTGACACAGTGGCTTCAACAAATGGCTCAATTGCAAAGATGGCTCAGGACTTCACAGTGTTTTATTTTGTTGTACTTAGGTCTTTGTGAATCAGAACCAACTGGATGGTACCTAACCACAACAATTATTATTATAGCATTCCAACATCAAGGGATACCATGAAGCCCAAGGAAAGAGATGCCATTTGATAACTGGCCATGTTTTAAAAGGCCCCCTCACTTAAAGGGATTTCACTCACAATTATTTTGTTTGACTTACATTTTTATGGGATTTTCCACCACTAAATCAGCAGTTATTTCTCATATATGTTTTCTTTCTTCACAAGTAGTTAAAGACCAATCTGCGAAGTTATTTCTCATATATGTTTTCTTTCTTCACAAGTAGTTAAAGACCAATCTGTCTGGGAGGCAAGGTCACAAAGACATCAAATTATCTGTGTTTATTTCCCAGATTTCCATTCACGTTGCTTGAAATAATTTAGTATTAACATCAGGGTTACTAAACTACTAAGCAAGAGATTACATTTAAATATATTTCCAATGTGAAATGCAATGCATTTCTAATCATGCTGACTAGTTACAAGCAAAACAAATGAGCCTTTGATTATTTTATCATATTCACAACAAATACTATCAACCACAGAGATCTCTAATGGCTTCTTTCATGCACACTCCAAATAAAACACAAGGCAAAATAATACATAACGGGCTTTAGAGTTATTAAAGGATAATCGCATCCTTGGGACTTCCACTGGGCACCGTAAGTGGCACCGCTAGAATATGATTATCTCTCGATAACAAGGGTCCCTGCAGTACTCACAAAGTGAGAAAAAGTCATTACTATAGGGAAAGTGTGTATTTACTTGACTGAAACATAAAGCTACCAATTTGAGCTAATGAACAATGTGACTTTTCCTGAGGTGACAGTATAACACCATGTAGGAGATCTTTCATCAGGGTTGCACAGGGCACTGTCACCTTGGAGACTATGGGTTGAAGAGCCATTTTCTGGAAAACTCCTTTCTGGGGTCTAGAGGATGCTGAAGAGCCTAGAGATCTATGAATCTATGTAAGACAGGGAGGAAACTGAGGGTAGCAATGGGAATGACTCATGCTGTACATCAGCTGTAAAGTTAGAAACTTGCAATTCTGAGCTTCACACATTGTTCTAATGTAACAGAATTAGAGCAGCTCACTTGATCCCAGGACCTGTCTACACTAGATCCCAGGACAAACCACAACGACATTGAAAAAGAAACTGTAATGTTCAGTCTTCGAACTAGGATCCTGGAGTGAAAATACAAGCCTAAGAGTATGTGGAGGCAGCCATCAAGAATTAAAAACGTCTGATACATAATACAAAGCTTGACTTGCCTTAAAAATGGTTAGAAAAAAATAATCAAGTCACGGAAAACTACTCAGAACTATCATATTTTCTGGTCTCTGTAATGTTTTGATTTAGAAAGACCAGAAAATATGATAGTAGACAAGAGTCACTTTCTTGAATCTTCATGTTTGAACCAATAAAATGGGCAAATGATTCTTAAAGTGAGGTATTTATCTTACAATACTTTATTTCTCAAATGGTCCACCAGCGGTAAAAGTTTACTCTATTTATAATCATTAGTACAAGTCTAGAAAGTATGTGGCAACTATTCAGATTACTGGTGCCACTATCAAGTGACCATTGGAATGCTAACCACAAGGTCACCTATTCAAACCAGCAATTGCTCCATGGGAGAAAGATGAGGCTATGTACTCCCCTGAAACCTTAAGCCTCAAAACCCTATGTAGGAACTTTATGAGTTGGAATCAATTTTAAGCCATGGGAATTATTATTTGGGGAATATCTCTGGAACTGTTCTTGGCACTGTGGCCTATAAGGTACTATCCTCAAAAAAATCTAAATTCTTAAAATATTTGAAAAATCATTATCAATTTTAAACCTTCACTATAACCAAGATCCAAGGATTATTTTGCTCTAAATCAGTGATTATACTACAATTATTACTATTATCATTATTATTATCTGGCCATGTTTGGAGACATTTTTGGATGTCATAACCAAAGGTGAGCTGTTTCCTCTTGACACCTACTGGGTAAAGAACAATGAAGCTGCTAAACCTTTAATGTGCAGGGTCCTACTCTAAACATAGGTACTTCCTGTTAGCATTTGCTCAACTCATAATATAAATGACAAGTGGGTCACATTTACAGCATTGTGCTGTTAAAATCTGCCATATCTGCTTTTGCATCCAAGGAATAAAAAAGGGAAATGATTGTTAGTGTATGGAAACATTTAAATATAACCCTTACATTTCTACCAAATGAAAACGACCAGGTTTATGAAAG